TGGTCTGCAATACTTATCTAGTGTCATTTTTCTTTACAAAGGTTTTTTTGGGTGTTAATAGGCAAGAAAGGGGAGGCCATGGCCCACAGAGAGGGAGAGACTCCCTGTTAATATCAAGAAAAGGCCAGTTGGTGCCAAGATACTTTGCTAGGGGATTACCAGGATCTGGCCCTTGCAGAAATGACTAGATATTTGAAAGTTTCATTTAATTTAAAGATGATAGCTCAAGCCACACAAAAGTGATAATGAATCAGAATGTGAATATGTTCATCATGCTGAATGGATCTTTCAGGTGAACACAGTGCCTCCTCTTCTTGTATTACTAACTGGGCACTCATGACAAGTTGGTTAGTAGAGAAGGAAAGGAAACGCATGGTTCTGAGAGGTTTTATCCGGGTCTTGATGCTCCAAGAGCTGTTTCTCAGGGCTGCCACGATTGCTCAGTGTCCAACCTCCCTTGTGAACCTATTGCCTATGCCTTGTGGCTTCTCTACCCCCTGGGGATTTTAGGACTACACAGCTAATATTTGCTTCTTTAGACCCCTCAACTCCATGTTGTATTTGATGTGCTAAAACCACTGATGAAGCTGCTCATTGTTTTCAGTAAAGTAGTGGGCGAGTCTCTAGTGTCACCTTATGTCTTTCAGCAGGAGGGGAAGCAATCTACTCTCTTACACTGTATGCACAGGCACAGGGTATTAAAAGTTTGACAGACTTCTAGTCTCCATTGAGGTGATGTGGAAAAGTGGTCGTAAATACAGGCTCTGGAGCCAGGCTGCTTCCTGGGTTAGAATGCTCATGCAAGGTTTTTCATCTGCAAAAAGGAAAGATAACAGTACCTGCCTCACAGGGTCATTGTGAGGATCAAGTGTGTTACTACCTGTGAACTTCTTACAATAGTGCCAGACACATAAGCCTTCAGTAAGTGTTAGCTATTCTTATTCTCTTTCATTATCTTCTATTTTTATTTTATTGTATTCTATTTTGTTATTATTCGCCTGCATCCTTTTATTATACTCCTCTATTAATCTATTTAACATTCCTTCCTTATACCTGTATATTATGTTACTCAATTTAGAAATAAAACAGAAGTTGGATTAAAAAAAAAATCACACACGTGTGTGTGTTTTAATTCTTCAAAGATAGTTTTAAAATAAAGGAGCTACGGAAAGTGTAGTATTAGTTCTCTATTGCTGCTATAAAAAATTAGCATAAACTTGGTGGCTTAAGACAGCACAAGTTTATTACCTGATAACTCTGAAGGTCAGAATTCAAGAAAGGGCTGGCAGGGCCGCACTCTTCCGGGAGGCTCTAGGGAAGAACCATTCCTTCCCCTTTCCAGCTTCTAGATGCTGCATATGTTTCTTGGCTTGTGGCCACATCACTGCAGCCTCTGCTTCTGTTGCCACATCTCTTTCTCTGATTCTGACCCTCTGGCTCCCTCATCGTTAATAAGAACCCTGTGACTACATAATGCCATCCAAATAATTCTGGATAATCTCTCCATTTCAAGATTCTTAACTCAATCATACCTGCAAAGTTCCTTTTGCCACATAAGGTAACATATTCACAGGATACAGGGATAGGATGCAGACACCTTTGGAGAGGCATCATTCTGCCTGCCACCAAGGGAAAAGCACCAGGTGACTTCTTGAGATCACTTAAGCCAGTGGTCTCCAACCAGAGATGATTATGCCGCCCCACGGGGACATTTGGCAATGTCTGGAGATATTTCTGGTTGTCACAACAGGGAAGTGGGGTGTTACTGGGCATTTTGCGGGGAGAATCCAGGGACACTAAATATCCCATAATGTACAGGACAGCCTCCTCCCCCCAACAAAGAATCGTCAGGCCCCAAATGTCATCAGTGATAAAGCTAAGAACCCCTGATTGAAAGCATATGACTCCTTGAAATCTTCCAAGTTAGCAGTGGGAACCAGTTACAGGGTTTAGATTTATATAGAGAAGTTTGAGAAATCACATACAAGCTCTATAACTCCAGGTTTTTGACAATCCTACATGATAAATAAGAGATGAAGACTATTACTCATACTTTAATAGCAGGGTCTTAAGCCTTAACTTGTTATTTGTTAAGTAGTTTGTTTTATTTTAGGTCTGGTGTAATCTTTCACACTGCTGTATTTCATACATAGACAAGTTAATTTAAAGTGTTTATCATAAACATCATTTTATGCATATTGTGAATATTTAAAGTCATAGATGCTCAGATTTAAGTATCTAACACCAAACAGATTTCAAGGTGACCCACAGCCTTCTACAATATTTTTGTTTTGCTTTGGGATGGCCTCTTGACCTCACAGGATCAAAGAGAAAGTACACGTACCATGACATTCCCTTCCATCTGGAGAAAGATTTAAGTTAGAATCAACTTTCACTTAAAGTAAGCACCTTGGGTATCAATATTTAATTTTTCAATTCTCAAGAATTTCTGTATTCTGGCTTGAATTTTCCCAGGCTTTTAAAAAAGTAACTTACAGAATTGCTAGTAGGAGACTTTACATGTTTTTCAACATTTTTTTCCATCTTCATTTTCCTTTCCATCCACTCCACTCTTCTCATCCTCTCCCTTTCTTTATTACTTTTTTTCCTGTTCAAGATTTCCCCTACAGTTTTCTTAATTTGCAGCAACTTCTAAAAGGAATAGTTATATTATCTACGGCAGAAAAGATTTCTTAACTAGCAGAGGACTGTGTGCATGGGAGTGAAAATTGTATCCATAAGGGTTAATTTGAATTTCATTTTTTTCACCCAGGAAGAATAATAACTATGGATATGAAAGTATTCTAACAGATTGCGAACCAACAGAGCAGAATGAAGAAAAACACAATGCTATTCAGCAACCTTGTTTACCACTGAAGCTATTTCTACTGTATACATTTCTCTGCCAAGATACAGTTCTACGAGGTGTTTTACATTTGGTATGACTTCTAAGCTACAATAAAAAGGATAGAGGTTAAATACATTTTAATGAGTCGAGACTTGCCAAACACTATTTAAAAAGCCAAAGCCATACCTCTAAACATTAATTCACATCTAAAATTCACAATTTCAAGTATCACATTGCTTACTGGGGTGGGTACCAAGAGAGGAAACTGCAGAGATCTCTGTGCCTATCTACTTGTCGAAGGATCCAGTTTCTTCACAAAAAAAAAATGCAAGAAAAAAGAAAGAGGAAAAAAGAAGAGTGTGAGGGAAAAACAAGACCGTGTGAAGGAGACATAAGAGACACATAAAGTGTATGAAGGACTAAGAAATTTAGAGATAATTAGAGGTCAATACATAAGTGGAAGTTTCCCAAAGCAAGATGGCATGAGCATATAACAGGGCAGCTGGTAGAGGGAAAGGAGGGGGAGGACTGGGGAGAGAGCAAATGGTAACTTTGACAACTTGGGCACATTATCAACTATGGCACAGGGACCCTGGATATCTCCCAGCCAAGACACCTGTACAAATTTCCCTGGGGATAAAAGGAATTTCTTTGGTTTCTGGGAAAGCCCACGGATGGGACAGCACCTGTTAGGTTGAGCAGCAAACGCCTGTTATCCCAATCAGGTCTCCCTCAAGCTACCTACATCAGGGGTATGTATGGGTAGTGCAGTGAAGATCCATAGCAAAATTAATAATAATGATAATAAATCAAAAAGCAACACAGAAATGCAAAGGAGCACATATTCAAAATATTAGACTATAACCTTTAATCCTAAGATATTTTCCTCGCATTATTTTACAAAGGTCAGTGAATAACAAAACCCAGATAAGAACATGCAACAGCAAATGGTTAAATATCATTTGGGGCAGGTTATTTCTTAGAAGGAAGTTTAGAATCTCTTGTCAAAGGGCATATTGTGTTTATATGCTGGGTGCTGTGCCCAGCTACACCTTTTTCCTCCTTGTCAAAATGTTCTTTTCTTCACCACACTCTGATGGCTGTGACGCCTGCAGCTCCTTATACCTCTCTGACTTTTCCTTCTATTCGAATTCTTGATGTCCTTTCCACTTCTGCCTTATACCTCTTCTCTTGTCCTTTTGGGAACTCAAATACCCTCAAGGCTCAGCTGTCACCCCTGGGCTGACAGATCCTAAATCTCCCCCATGAGAGATTCTCTAACCTTCCATCTCTACCAACCTGTTGTCTGTCCCCACTCGGATGTTACGCCTGGCTTAGACTCAGCAGGCACAAATCCTTATTAATCACCACCCCCCCAAAAAGCAGACTTATCTCCTAACTTCTCTCCTTCTGTGTGCACTCATCCCATTCTCCTGAGTCCCTTAGGTTTTAAAACTTGGCATCATTTCCAAATTATTCAAATCCTTCATTTAGCAAGTCAGTTCCCTGGAGCCATCCAGCTCTCCCTTCACATTGTCCTACAGCTGTCTCATCCCGCCACAGGCCGACCTCTCCAACTCAGACCTGAGACACATCAACAACCCCTATCTGCCCACCCTTCCTGGCTTATCACTTCTCACTTAATCCATCTAGACTAGCATTCCCAGAATCATCTTTCAACTTTTGCCTTATCAAGTGACCTGTTCAGGAAAATATCCATTTCTCTGTTATTACAACATCAAGGCTAAACATAGATTTTCAAAGCTCTCAATAATACACCCCTATCCATTGTGTCTACATTTTCACTGCTTCTCAACGATGTGATTTATTCCTGCCTGTTTTCTGCTTGTTGGGAATTCCCTCCTTTGTATCTCCACTTCCAAATCCTAGCCTTGCTTGGGCCCCTCCCAAATCTCAACTTCTCCATGTAATTTAAATGACTAACTCTCACTCCCTTCTTAACTTATTTTTTTAGAATAAACAAGTTAATAAATCTACTATTGAAATACATTTTTATTTTTCTTGGCTATAATTGATCCATAATGAATAAAATCATAAACAAAGCAAATTTAGAGATATATCTATTAGCATTTGATTTTTAAATGTTATACATTTATTATAGAGCTACTACATTTAAAAGTCATCTTCTTACCTGATTTTATGCATTCTGCTGACTTGCAAATACCATCTAGAAAAAGGAGGGTATACACATAATTATTTGCAATACATGTTTTCTAATATCTCCTTATCTTTTGTTCTTCTAAAAACTGCCAATTAAATAATAAATTCTGTAAAGCAAGAACTAAACCTGAATATTATATATCATTGTTAATAGTTTGAAAAAATGGAGGGATACAGTGGGAAAATCCTAAATTTAAAATTTTCATTATGAAGACAATGTATTTATTACATTATCTCTACCCACTAAGCTTTAGGTCTTTTAAATTGAAATAATCAGTTGTAAGTCTAGTAATCATGTTTTGTTTTGTTTTGTTTTCATTAAGGAACCAATCTTTTCTAATCTGTATTGTGAACACTTCTAAGACTCAAATTAGACCTCTCAAATTCCTGTGCAGCCCTTTAGAATTTCAATGACACAACAAAATTGACTAATTGAAGTTGGCCACAAAATTGTGTATACTTTAATCAAATAAAATTATACATTAGAATCCTCATAAAATAAGCATGAGTGCATTAAATATACTTGGCAAGGAATAATTTAGCTCAAACATAAAAGACAGTGTACCTTAGTCAAAGGTAATTGCCTTGACATATTGATGATACATTTTATAAATGCATCTTTATAGCACTACCTTTAATTTAATTGTCTTTCTCCTTAACACATTAGCAGATGGGAAAAGCATCAGAGGAAGATTTCACTCTCTCCTGCATTTATGTGTGCAGAGGCGTGGGAGTAACTCACCGTCATAGTTTGCATAGAGTGCTATCATCGTCACCGCGATGATGCCGAGGAGCAGGACGAGGACTGAGAGGCTGATCTCCAGTGGGGTCCATCGCTGTTTCTTCTTTGGCTTTGGAGTGTTGTTATCAGTTATATCCATCTGACTTTCTGATTTGCCCATCACCTAAAATCTGCAAAAATTGTTAAAAAATTTTAAGTACCAATAATAAATTAATAAGATAAAAGAGGAAGTGTGTGTATATATATGCATAAATATACATATATACACATACATATTTATACATGTATATATATACACACACAATATTCCAAATGCTTAATGTGGATGAATAAAGTAATAGTTAACTTATTTTAATAAGACATAAAAATTTTGAGTTGAAAGTCAAAATTTTTATTCTGACAGAGAATATAGAGCCAGACGAATTTGACAGGTCCCTATCACAACTTTTGTTTTTGTTTTTTTATTTTATATACATTCATGGAAAAGCCAAGCAAAATTAAACAAAGAGATTCAATTAAATACTCACATAGGATTCCTCCAGCAGTTCCTTGGCAATTAATCACTGTACTATCATTAAGGAAAGTTTTAAACCACCCTTCTGAACTTTGGACAATGTCAAAGGTGAATTTTATATCTTGCTCCAGTGGCTTCCTTTATAAGCTTGGAAATCAATAACTAACACTTTGAGATTTTGACTAAGCAATAATTTGAAATAGGAGTGCAGATTTTTAAAAAAATGTGATAGTTTCTTTTTAGTCTTAAAAACTTTTGATTTTACAGCTCAAAATTTTGACTACTGCTGATAAGGGTAGCTATTAACTGGTTAGACAACATTCTGAAAATGGTCACTTGCTGGACTGAAAGTCAGTGGTTTACCTCCAGGGATGAAAGATGTTAACCATAATCTCTTAGAGCAACTGAAGAAAAAAAATATGATTTACAAAATTCTACCTTGTAGGTAAGGGTAACAATAGTTAAGATGTTATTTAATTTGCACCTATTTGAGTACTAGTACCTTTAATAATAGCAGATAGTTATTGAGAACTTCCTATGTGTTAGTCATAGTTCTTCACTTCTTTACATGTACTAATGCATTTAATCTTTGTAAGGTGGATATTAATATTCTAACCCTGTACATTAGGAAACTGAGGCACAGAAATGTCAGGTACTTTGCCCAAGGCTATGTGATTAGTAAATGTTCTTCATAAAGAACACATTTGGTCACTGTTTGAAATAAAATTGTATCACCATACAATAAAAGCTACTTTAGATCATACTGCCCAAGTTTTGGGGGGAAATTTAAAGGATATTAAGCCTAAATATCTGATTTCATTGTGTTTCTTTTAGAGGCCTATTGATTCTCTATGGGCCATCTACCAAAGCCCAGATAACTTCAATTTTTCTGCAGGGCTGTAATGTAGAAAAGAGCATTGTAAACTAACAGATTAGCTTTTTATAGCTTGATACAAATTAAGCGTATAATTTAGTTCCTAGATGAAGCAACTGCTCAGAATTGCTCTTTTAGTTAAAGATCTTTGTTGAACACACACAATCCCTTGAGGGTGTGTTTTGTGGAAACTGAGGCACAGGATAAAGTAGAAACAGAGTCTACATTTGAAGTGTGGTCGCCAGATCCAGCAGATACCTAGAAATTTAATCTCCCTGGTAAATTATTAATAAGCTAACCACAACAACTAAAGTTTAAAGTTCTGGATACAGAGTCTTAAGCATGCTCTCCCCTTGATTACATGAGGCTATAACCAAGGACAGACTTTCAAATAAAAATATTTTATTAGGCCATGAAAACCGTGTCTGCTCAATAAAAGTAGAATGTAATGTACCTGAATGTTAAAATGTCTTTCTTAATGGTTATGTAACTCATGTTGTCTTAGTCTCAGCCCCTGAGGTTATGATATGAAATTACATTGATCGTAGTCCTTGTAGTTTTAATAGGGATGGTTGGGGAAAGAAAAGATGAAAACAAATTTGACACTTACACCATACAGAGAGATAATAAAAACTTTGCCGGTTCCCCCGGAATAAGTCAAGACTGACCTAAAGAACATATGAATGAGAATCATACTTGCAGAAGTACTTCCTTTTCTTGAGTATTTCTCTCCCTGCTCTAATAATATCTCAAAAGACAATCTAAAGAAACGTAATACGACCCACTTCTCTTTTTAGTTTTTTCTCTGAAACAACAAACAGTTTCTACAGTAAAACTTAGGCCAAGAATCAGGGCAGCTACGGGGTTAAATGAAAGGTGATCTTTAGCGCCACCAGGCTTCTGCAGGAAAACTTCTGGGCTCTTAGTGGTTCTTTCTGCACCTAAGGCAACAGAAATTGTTATAGGGAACCGAAGGCAGGGGCTGAAGCTGTGTAGTCCTTTTACCTATGTCGATGAACATCAGCTTTTAATCACCTGCAAGCTCTCCATCTGCCCTTTTTGTAACCCCTCTGCAAATTTCAATCTTTTGTTCCTAAGTACTACTGTTCGATAATAACACTGAGCAAAAGCAGAAATGATCCAAGTTTAACCTCTTAATTAACTTTGTTATTCATTCCCAGGTAGTTCTGGTGGATTCGGTATCTTCTTTTAAAGAAATAAGGGTTAGCATCTTGAACCTCACGAAGAAACATATCACCAAGTCCCATATACTTGAATATCCAACTCTATCACATCCAATACCGTTTGAGAGAGGGTTTGGAAAGGAGAGCAATTAAACAAAATAGAGAGAGAAAGAAAGAGAGAGAGTGAGAGACAGAGAGAGAGAGATTTGATACTTGCAGTCCCAAAATAAAACAAGATATGCCAGAACATATTTCACCTTAACAGGAGATATGTTAGAAAGCTGAAACAGAAAAGTAGACACTTCCACAGGAGAGAATAGAGAATTAAGAGATCTAATTCAAAAGAATCCTATCAGCTTGACAACATCATCCAAAGAATAAATGATTATTTTGCTTAAGTGGAAGCTGAATTTCAAAGCAATATAAAGCAGAAATGCTTATACCAGTTGAGAAAAGTCTCATAGTCAAATCAAAGAACTCACAGCATAATTGGTTTGTTAAAAAGAAGTCGATAAACCTAAGCAATTTTCATCTTCACAGTACATTATTACATTAACATTTCAGCAAGTGCCTGAGGGTACACCATGCAATTAAAGTTTTTATTATGGAAACTGAGGCACAAGAAGCCAGAGAAACAAGTTCCAGAGTTTACTGTAGCTTTAGAAGCAGAAGAGGCAGGTACTCAAGAGAAATCATCTTGTTTCCCCCGGACGTTAATTTGTGGATGTTTGCCGGGTCGGGAATATGGAGTTCTGGACATAAAGTGCCAACCTCATTACCCCCATAAGCTGTACAACGAAAGTCACTGCATCGAGCCCAAGAAACTGTTGGACAATTGTTTTAGAGTCCTGGAACCCAGCAATAATGCAGCAGAGAGAAGTTACACGCCTTCATAACTGATTTGCCAATGAGGAGTGTAGTAAACCAGGTACCACTTTCCAGCTTAAATTACCATTTGCATCATATATGGGAGAGGAATAGATTTGGCCAAGTGACTCAAGATGAATGTTAGGTTGCAATTATACTTGTTTTCAAAATACAAATAGACAGAGACCGATTAAGCAAGGAAACTTTCACCTATGAAAGAACTGCCCCCCACTCCTGCCAACCAACCTTTGTGTGATTTAAGTACGCTATACTGCATAAATTACATAATAGGAAACTAAGATTCTAAGCAAGATGAAGAGGTGAGATAATGAAAAGATCTTCAGGTTAGGAAAAGTAAAAATAGAAAAGTGAGTTGCAAATGAGGAGAAAATCCGACAAAAAACAAAATGAAAACAAACCTCGCTTTAAATATATATGTATGTATCAGTGCCTGTACCGCGGAACGGCAAATTCCCAGCCCCCAAACCAGCCCCGCCGCAATTAGGCAGCGTTGATCTCGGAACCGCACTGAACTTCCCGGGTCGGCGGCTGTAGGGAGCGATGGAAATGAACCTGAACAGCCGACCTGACTGCACTTGAGAGCCCTCCTCCAGGTCACCTCGGCCCCATTCCCTCACTCTTCAGGTCCCAGTGCGGTTCCTTCCCCGGACACGCCTCCCTCGTCCACGGCCGCTGGGTCCCGGGGCGCTGGGATCGCGCCGGACCTGACCTGCGGACCCTGCTCCGCGCGCCTCGAGGGCAGCCGCTCCCTCCGACCCGCAGTGACCTCCCCGCGCCCATCCCACCGGCTCCCACCACCCCGGGCTCTCGCGCTTCTCCTCCAGTTCCCAGGTGCCAGCTCGCTCTCCCGGGACTCACCAGTGGGATTCGGGAGAAGTTGAAGGCTGCTGAGCACACACATCCCGACCAATGAGCGCACGGGGCCAGGCGCCCCGCGGAGCGCCGGTCGGACCAGAAGTCTGCCCCGGCGCGCCACGAGCTGCGCGGGGCTCCGGGCGGCTGGCGACGGCGCCGGGCCGAGGCCGGACTCCAGGGAGGTTACGGGCCCGCCTCGGCCCGGGCCCGAGGCGACGGGGACCATGGGCATCCCTCGGACCCGCACCCGGAAGGACTCACCGTGGCCTCTCAGCAGATCCCGCGCCGGGAGTTGGGCGGCTGCTCCTGCCTGCGCTCGGTCAAGCTTCGCCACTTGCTCATCTCTGCGCCCCGCGCGTCTCGGCGCTTTCACCACCTCCCCCCTCCTCGCCGCTGCAGGACCAGCGAGAGGAGCAGTTCCCTGGGTGACCTGAAGGTTTCCGCTAGGTCTCCCCAATCCTGTCACATCACGCGTGGGGGCCGGGTGTGCCTGTGTGTGTTTGTGTGTGTGTTGAGAAACACTCCCCCACCCCATACCCCACCTCACCCTTCCCAAAAGGGCTATGTCAAACATTCTTGGAATTGCTTAGCGTGGGGCTTTCAAGAAAACAATACATTGCCGCTTTGAGATTCTGTTAAGTGCTGGTGAAGGTTCTGTCTTCCTCCCTACTGGATCTCCTCTCTTTTTCTCACATTCTCATTTGATCCTTTCTCACATTCTTATCGATCTTTTTCCTCCCTTCATCCAAGCTTACTTCCTTTCTCATTTTCCTTTATTTCTCTCCCTCCTCCCCTTTTGTTTCTTTCTCTTCTTTGCCTCATTCTCTCCCTTTCCTTCTCTCCTTTCTTCCCCCCCCCCCCGTTTCTCTTTGCTTTTCTTCTCTTCTTTCTCCCCCCTCCCCTTTCTTTTTCTTGGTCAGACCAATATGATGTCAAGAGCTACATTCTGTACCGAAACTCCGCTCCTGCTTCCTGACTCTAGGGAATCTTGTAATGAGTGTACCTCCGGGCTTGGGGATGGAGAGTGAAAGAGTCAGAGAAAAATAAGCTAAAGTGCGTCTGTACTATGCACTAAAATTAAGTGTAATGTGTCTGGGACCCTAGTCATTTAAATGCAGCCAAACAGCACATCATTTGAGACCTGTGGTTCCTTCTCTAGGGGGAAAATTACTTTTTGCACGAGAGCTATTTCTTTATAAAAGCTGCTATAAATGTAAAGGAGCTCAGAAAAACTGAGCATCCTCTTAATTTTTTTTTTATTTTTTGCTTCCTTAATTTTTAGTTCAATTATTCAATTCCATGTATAGAAGCAGCTTTAACATTGATCCTTTTCCTCCTTTGAATCACATATAATTGCAAACACATGCAGTCACCCACACCCCTCTTGGGAAATTTGTACTGAAATACAGGTGGATTTTACCAAACTTGGCCAAGTCTGTTTTTTTTTAATTGAGATTTTCAGAGCATCTCACCCCAAAGCAGCGGCAATATCTGTTTTTAACATCAAAATAACTCACTGCTTGAGAGACTCTGCACTCATAAATTTTACATACTTTTCATTGTAGAGAAAGCTGAAAAGCAAGAATAAAAAGGGATACTTGCTAATGAAACAGTAAATGGAATACACTGGACAGGCATTAAAAGAAGTCATAACAATCATTAAATTAGATTGAGATAGATCTAATGTATAGACTTCAAAAGTATTTTCTATGCTTTACTCTTTCTTGGTGCATGTTTTGGACAATACTTAATCCTCACAGCAATCTGAAAATATGGGTGTAGTTACCCCACAAATGATTATAAAGAGCTTGGCTAAATTCAAACCACTGGGAAGTGTCTACACAGGAATTTGAACCCAGTTCATTTTGACTCAAATGTTGAGTTACTGCTAGCCTCATTTTACAGAAATGTTTGAAGCATAGAAAGGTGATTTACTAAAATACACTTTATGAGAAAGCTAGATCTTCTAACACTCCAGTGTTTAATTTTTATTACCCTTCAGCTAAATTATCAAAATGTTATTTCAGCCTTACATAATCAACAAGGAATTATAATGAGTTACAAAAGTCTTTTTTTTCCATGTATTGAGCCCTTAGTTCCTTCATAAGGAGCCATGTGCATTAAAAATTTAATGTATTTCTTCTAATTAACATAATAATGAATGTTGGTGGGGAGGGAAACGCTTTGGGACTAATCCCTAAATTTGCATATGAACAGGAAATTCCATAAACTCATATGCCTAGTCTTAACATTTCATTTTAAAGTTTTCAAGCTAGTTTCTGTTTTCTAATTTGAACAAAAGTTTTACACAAAAGTTCCTTTGGAACATAATCATACATCCTTGCAGTCCAGGAACACCTTATTACCGGTAGAAAATGAGACGGTTTGATTTGTTTATAGTACCTCTAAACTTAGAGCTGGCAGTTGAAAATGAAGATAGTTCAATTTTTTTTAACTAAAGATTTGCTAATGAAAACTTTCAGACTATGTAGTTATGAGTTCTGTGGATTGCAGAGAAGAAAAATTCATTTGATGTACTCTGAGAAAGAATTTATCTGCTGAGATGGACTCCTCATGGTCAAATGAGGGCCCAAATTTTATGAAAAGTAAGAACCTAGTGGCTATTTGCTGGCAGGGGCTCCTCATGTACTCTGTATACCAAGATCCTGGGACTGAACTTCCCCCCACTATGCCTTGCTTAGTTACCCTATATCAACCACTGCAAGGAAGGCCTGGTTTGTCTTTGGACCAGTGGACTGATACCTGCTCTGGCCAAGCAGAATTACATAAATTGCAGCCTCATTTGCATCTAGACCTACCAACTGACCAATCAGAACTGCGCAATTGAGACCAATCAGAATGGTACAATTGGAAACCTCATTTACCTGAAAGTGACTAAAATGGGAACTGTAAGCAGGAAAATTCCCTCTAAAAGGTTACTTTGCCTTTGTCTCTTGGGAGCACAACTTAGGTTACTACCTGAATCTGTGTCTCCTAGGCCTCAGCTTTTTTGTTGTTGTTGTTCAAATAAATGCTTTTATTCCTTACTGCAGCCTAAAATTAATTTTAGTTTACAGTTTTAATTTGTTGCAGGAAAGAAAAACCCTGCAGGAAGTCAGTTTAAAGGTTCACTCTTGGTAGCGGTATTTTAGAGAAAAAAATGCAGTTATTTTTAGACTCTGACTTTCAGCTGAAGTCTTAATCTCACTGAAGTTCACCAGGAATTTCAGGTTTTTATGAAGAATGCTAATGGAAGTTTGAAAGTTTTTTTTAAAGGGATCAAGTAAAGAATCTCCAGTAAGGGAACTCAGAAAACTGAGGTTTACAGAGTTGTCAAGGCCGTGCAGTTTTTTGAGTTACAGGAACAGAGGACAAAATAGTCCTCTTGGCTGTCGTGCATAAGTTATTAAGCGTGGAATGCATTGGTTCTGGCAAGATGTAGAGTAGGTTCTTAAAAGCTGTCTTTGTCTGCAACAGGTACAAACACTTGATAAAGTGTTTTTTAAAGGTTCTTTAAATGCACCATTGAGCAAACAAGAAAGCGAAGGAAAACTTCAGAAGCCAAAAATATGGGCAGCCGGGAATCCAAAAAAGGTACTGAATGCTGAATATCGTGTTGCTGTTGGGCATCCATCTGTCTGAGGATGTCTCACCAAACCTAGAACTTCAGCTTTCACAGGCTTTGTAAAATGCCAAGGACTTCATTCAAAGCCTAGTACAGGGCAAGAAGAAAAGTCAGATCAGAGATTTCTACATAAAGCTGAGAACACTGAAAAGAAACATCTGCAGTGAAAAGGTGAACTAGAAAAAAGGATAAAACTGAAACTACATTCCCACTCCTACCTACTGCCCCAAACAAAAACATATTTGCTTTTCTACTGATTTAGGCAGTTAAATTTACCTCAAAAAGGTATAAAATCATGGTCAAGCCAGAAATCAGATATTTTGTTGTAGGATGTAAGGCTAGAATTTATACTAATTGTGAGGCCTGAAAAACCCCAATTTAAAAATTTATAGTTATGCGGTCCCAGCTAGGCTACGCCAAACAAAAAAAAAACCCCCCAAAACTGAGAGAGTTGTTATTACCTAATTCTCACTAAAGGAACTTCTTGAGAATGAATTTATGAAACAAAATGATAGTAGATAGAAGATCTGATATAAAAGAAGAAATGATAAGCCAAGAATATGGTAACAGCATGGGTAAATCTAAATAAACATTGAGTAAAAAAAATGTATGAAGAAAAAAATACTGGATAATGGTAGTGTGTAACTTACGATAGTATTATTTAGAGTTAAGACACTCCGAAGTGCTTACTTCTATTGTTGATAAAGGGATTCAGAACAGGCTTCCCCAAGATGTGTCACTTTGGCATGTGAATTAGTTTGAGCTGAAGGCAATTAAAACCCTGCAGGCTCATGGGAAAATTTTCCCTCTCCATCAGAGAATTTAACTTTGGGGCCTCGCTCATAGTAAGAGTTATTACCAGAGATAACTTTTTATGACCTATTTACAGGGCAGGGCAAACTTCTAATTACTGAACATCTGCTTTTCCTTTTGTCCTACCAATGACCTTCCTTCCCTCTGAAACCCCAAGGTGTCTTGCTTCATCCTTAACTCAGAATGTCATGTATACCTGTGTAGGAGAGCCTGTTCTATGACGTAACTGCTGCCAGACCCTCAAGTTAAATTGGAGCCAGACCGGAGATTGCTTCCCATAAATCCCCTTAAGATTATCTGATCAACCCCTCACCTATAGCTCCTGACACTCCGGTTCTAGGAACAGGCAGTAGTGCTGTCCCAGGCAAGCATGTAAGGCATTTTTACTTATCGGGGACAGGTCACGCTTCAGAACCACAAACCACCTTGCCCTGTTTCTTATAATTCTCTAGTGCCTACAGCTCAGAGATGCAACTCTTATGTATGTTTCCTTAACAATACCTCACTTCTCCTTTCTGTTTCTGAATTTCTCATATATGTGGGGTTCCGATACATATGTATATAAATAAATTTTTTTTGTTAGAATGTTTCATGTTGATATGATTATTAAACCAGTTGGAAGAACATAGAAGGATAGAAGCAAGTTTCTTTGTCCCCGACATTGGAAAGGAAGATAAAGATATTGATCAATTTTAGGCTTTATTACTTACACATTCAAAAATGACTAGTGTACTCACTAAAAGAAGTAGAGTGCATAAGACTAAATAGTGCATACAGAAAAAATTAGAATTAAATAAAAGGAAATCTAATGAAAGACAAGGAAAGAGAAAAATATGAAACATTGGAAAATGATATACAGAAAGTACAAAATAAGATGGTAGAAATAAATACAAATATATTAATTACAATAAATATAATTGAACCTAATTCTCCAGAGAATAAAGATTGTAATACAATAAATAAGCAAAATTCAGCTATTATCTTCTGTTTAAGAAACATACCTAAAACATAAGAC